AGGAAGTCTAGTCTGGAAAATGGATTCAGGCCCATGATTGACTGTCAGGAAAAAAATTCCCATGAAAGCTTTCAAGGCACCCACTACACTGGCCTATAGCACTACAACTGCTTGGACACATTGTAGAATGAAAAAGAAAGACAGCCCTTTGTCCTCATCCCCTGTTCAGTTCATAGCATTCAAAAAACACCAGAGCATCACATAAAAGCCAAACATACGATAATTTTGCTCAAGACTGCTGTGATGTGCTGATCATGACTCTCCAGCCTTTCCTCTGGATCTTCATTTTCAAAGTGGACACGGGCACTTTTGACCTTGGACTTTTTCGGAGGAGCTGGAGTTAGAGCTGGAGGAACATCTGGAAAATCTGTGGAGGAAAAAAAAGCCGTCAAGTTGTTCATATGCAACTACTGTGCAATAGGTACCAGACCAAGAGCTCCCTAATGACACCTATTATTGCTTTGATGAAAAGAAACAAGATGAGGAAGCAATAAGGCCGTTAGAGCTCTCTGTATCTGACTTGCACTGGATAATGGTGAGCAACATGCTCAAGAATGTTATTTATGAACTGGCATCAAGGTCTTTTCAAACAGAAGCATAAGCAGGAAAAAGTATTGAGGCCTGATGGCAAGGATGAAGGGAAGAAACAAGGCCCTATAGAAACTAGATGGTGTTCTTGCACATCATGCTTAGGCACAAAAAAAAGCACATTTCTACTGCTAGCTCTGACAGTGCACGACTTGTATGACCACATCAAGTTAAGGCCTCCCTTTCATCATCTATAAAATGGGGCCTTATTTCCTTATGTGTAATCAAGCATTGCAGGGTTCAAAATATTGTTTTTAAGAAATCACCTTAAATTTTTGAGACCATTAAACGCATGAAAGAAGCATTACAGTTATTGATGGTGAGAGAAAGTAAAATTGCAGGAAGGAATCCTGATCTGCTGACAAAAAGCTGGGACTGTTAGCAGGACTCCAGCTCAGGAACATTGAGAACAGGGTCTGGAAAGAGGACAGAAAAAGCACCAAGGCAGGAATAGGATGATCTAATGGGTGAAAGTCACAACAAACATCTCCTGCATGGAGGCCAACAAAGTGCCGCAGGCAGGTGATAAACGTAGAGAAAGGCTGTGTGTGCTCCAAGAGCAGCTCTGTCACATACTGGTAAAACTGGACAGGAGCACATCCCAACAGGGCTAAGAACAAAGAATACTGCAAGGAGGACACAAATGCAGGGCAAAAGCAACTGAATTGAGACAGAATGAGGTGAAGGGGAGAGGTGCTGAGGAATGAGCAGGCAGAGAAGCCTAGTAGTTCAAAGAACTCCCAAAAAGGAAATTACCATCCAGCATGACCACATCCTTGCTGTCCTGCAGCGGGGGCCTCTCAGCATCTCTGCTCCCTTCCTTCCCCTTCCTCTTGTCTGCTTTCTTCACAATCTTCACTGCGGGCGATGCTCTGGCCGCCAGGAACTGCTGCTGGAAGTGCAGCAGGTCTGCCTCGCACTCCCCAGGCTTCGGTCTCGACAGCATCCTGCCTTCCTGCTCTTGTGGCGTGGCCCAGCGCGCTTCCACACGAGACCTACCAAACACATGGAAAAGTGGGTAAAGAACTGCACTTCCTGGGGACATGGTGGCGCCAGCGGGGGAAAGCCATTCATTTTGGTCCCACTCTACTGTTCCTGTACATACTGCAGCAGCACAACCCAAGGACACAATTCTTTGTACCAGAGCCACAGACAACCCGTTGTCCTTGTCCTCATGGCCAAACAGGAATGACCAGACAAGCCAACATCTGCTCTACTCACCAGCTGGGAGCAGAACAATGCTCATTCTGCAAGAAGCCAGCCAGCTTCCTCAGTGCCAGCAACCAGCAGCGCAGCCTCTATTTGCCAAGTCACAGAGGCATGTGGTCCAGGACAACAGGCTTCACTTAGACCAGTATCAGCACCAAACAAGGAGGCCAGAGCACTAACATCTCTATCGCAGTGCAAGAGCCTATCACATAGACATGGGAAATGTGCTCCCTCCATCACTGTTTTTCACCTCCTTCCTATTCCAATCTTCCACGGCTTTTTTCCATATCTTCCATATCATTTTCATTGAAAGCTCAGGACAGTTTTGGGTTGATTGTTAATAGTGGCATTTGTAAATGCTTTTACCTCACTGCACACGAGCGCCTTGTCCTCCCATCTGCTGGGCATTAAAATCTGTGTGAATACTGCTCCACAGCCCTCATTCCCAGAGCCTGGAATCATCAATCCATCTCTCCCAGGCAGGGAGTAAAGTGTTTGCAAATACATTGCATGCTAATTGAATGACTGATCAGCATTAATGCTGCAGACTTGACGCTCTCCCACACTGAAATGTTTTGCACATATTCACTCTCTTCTACTTTTGAAAGACCTCAGGAGGACTAAATAACTGTTTACTGCCAAGTTGGAAAGGGAAGCGGATACAGATTTTTAAAACTAAGATTACCTACGCTATGGGTAGGCTGTAAACAAGAAAATAGACAAAGCTTGGAAGTGAATCTGGCTTGAACTTCAACCAGAACAGTATTCAATCACTGCGCAGGAACAGCCACTGCTCAAGGAAGCACAGCACTGTTTTTAGTTATGCTATACTTTGTGTAAAATATTTGGGGAATATCAAGTAATTCATGAGTCTATTTACACCCCATCCTTGCAAGGAGGATGAACTACCTCATGCAGTCTTTATGATCTACAGCTGGAATATTTATACCATCTTTGGGGGTCTTATTTTGTTGCTCATTCTAAGAGCACTTGGAGCACAGCAAATTAAAAAGAAATGCAGGCAGTGGCAGAATGCAGTTTTTTCAAAAATAAACAAGGGCTTAGTGTAAAACAACTTGTCATGTGAAAGTTGAAGTACTTTTCCTGATCCTCATTTTGGCGGGGGGGGAAAGGGGGGGGACGAAAACAAAAATGCTCAGATTCAAGTGCTTTGTGTACCAAATCAAGGTGGATTTTCAGGTAGCTTAAGGTTTTCAGGGACTCTATTCACTTTGGCACCTTAACCGTGCTGAAACAGACTTTTCCTCTGATGGCAGCATCACAAATCAGCTGCCTGATTTCAGACATCTCAAAAACACTGGGCTTAATGAAAGCCACCAGCTCCAGTGTTCCAGCGTAGCAACTTGCATTTACACTGAGCCTAAGTATGGCAGGGGCAGCAGCAGGTGGAACTCCCAGTGCTCTCCTGGCACTAACACCCAACCTCAGCACCCAGGAGAAGCTGCCTCCTCGCCCGAGACTGCGAGGGCTTCAGCAGACACCAGAGGATACTCAGAGCAGGAGAGATGAGCACCTCCCTGCATTAATCTTGCTGGGGTCAGAGTTGGACTTAAAGCAACACAGAAACATCTGGGTTGTTATTGCAGTTCTGACTGATGTTGAAGAGAAGGCAAAAACACAGCCCTGTGGCCCAGTTCCCTCCCAACTGAGCAATAATAATGCACTCCTGTCTTAAGCACATCTGGATGCTCTTTATTTATGGAACTTTTTTGCCACAACAGGGGCTCTAATAATCACATTACAAATTATGAGCCCCCACTTTGCTATGCACATTTATGAAGCCACACAACACAACAGAAACCAAGTGTTTCATGCCCTGCCATGATGGGCTTCAAAGCCCAGAGGACGATGGAGCTGGAGGGACCAGAGGTAAACCACTGGGTTATAAGCAAAGCTTGCTGCTAAGTTTTCTGTAGTAAAGCACTTCAATGCGAGAAACGCCACATGCTTCTGGCTCTATATTTCTTACAGTACTCAAAAAATATAGAGGGCATTGAAACTCCCTTTATTTGTATGGAGAATCATGAGGCACAAGCAACCACATGGTCACTGCTTAAAGAGGTCAGATGTTTTTCTAGAAACCACATTCTCCAGGTCTTCTCACCCTCCCTGTGGATATGGAGGCCAGATGGTAAATCAGAAATGGACATTAGTTGAGTGCACAGACCTAAAACCTTTAAACATGCTCTTGCCATGTCATAACAGTGTCTAGTAGATGCATACAGCCAAAGCCTTTGACTTCATGCGTTTCACCCCAATGAACTCCAAACTAACTAAATACGTTCAGCTACTTGCAGACAGCCATAATATAGAGAAAATAAAGAACAAGAGTGAAGAACCTCCTATGGACATGGAAAAAAGCACATTAAGGAAGTAAACTACCCAAGCACATGAGCATATAACACCACTTGCCTGGCATTCTTAGCTACTTTGCAAACTGGTAGGTGTAATAAGTGCATCCTGCTCTCTCACAGCAATGTTTTCTGCACTGCCTAGTACAATAAGTGGCAGTCTGAAACATCCAGCCTCGGCAAGGAAGGGCAGCAACTCCAACCCGCCCCGGGAGGGCAGGGACGTGCTGGGCTGCGCCTCCCCGAAGGAAAGCCCAGGGGGTTTTGCCAGCCGGGCCGCCCC